ACCTCCCTCCACCCGCTCATTGTAGTGTTGATGCATATGTGTTCTAAGGTGCAATTAAAACCCAGGAGGGCATGGAGCTACCTGCCAAGGAGCAGCAGGTAAGCGCATAGTCCCTCCTGCTAGCCCTCAATGACTAAGTGTATTTAAAATTGAGAGGTGGGCAACGACGTCAGGGGTGAGGTATACACCCTGATGGTAATTTGGACTCCGTGATTGTGCCCACCCCCAAGATCCTATATGTATGTGTAATGAGAGTGTGAATAATGTGAATGTCTAAGTTGTGGGATAAAATTGAGGCAGAGGGGGACGGGGGGGGGGGTAGCCTCCTCTGCACCCTGGTGACATACCCCCACTCCAAGGCCCTGCATGTGTGAGTGGTTGTGGAGGAGCGGGAAGAGGGAGGCAGCTGGAGATGGGGAGGGAAGGAAGGGAGGGGCAGGTAACCCCTCCCTGGGGCCAGCTCCCCCGCTGACCCCAGTAGGCACTCCCACCCTTCGCGACCCGCCAGGGAAGGGGGGCCCAGGCCCATCAGACCGGGGCCCAGTGCAGTAGCGCCCTCCGGCTCCACAGAGCCCTGGACAGTCCACCCAACCCCACCACAGAGAAAACTGCACCCACCCCACCATCCACACATCTTCCAGACTACATAAGACGGTAAACGCCCAGGCTGAGATCTTCCTCCACCTCTCCTGTATCTCCCCCTCCTGCAGAGAGTTCCTGAAGAGAAGAAAGCTCCTGCAAGATGTGACCATCCCCCCCACCAGTTGAAGAGCCCCCCAGGCGGCTCGACGCACCGGCGGCACCCTGCTCCAGGGCCGGGCCCCCATGCACCCACCCGCCCACAACCCCGGCAACACACCAACCAGGACCCAAGCCCCCGAGGCCCGGCCCGGGCCCCAGCCCAGAGACAGAGCGCCCCCAGAACCTCACGCCCATCCCGGACCCACCCAGGGGCAGCCAGGTTGCCAGGTCAGTAACCCACGTCCGTCAGCACAGACCCTCCCCTAGCCCCGCTGCACGCAGCCGCGAGGAAACAGTCACCTGAGAGCCAACAGAGCCCCCAACCGGACGTGACCGCTACCCCGGGTTGAGCCCCCCAAGGAAGATGCCTCCGGGGAACCCCCCGACGCCCTAAGCCTGTCCCTACCCCCTCACCAATCACAACAGTGAAGGCGGGACCAAACTATGACCCCCCACCCCCACTAGGTGATGGAGCTGATAAAAGGGGCCCAGAGCAATTGATCTGATGTGGTGGCAGAGGCTGTGTCAAGACTAATGTAATCTAATAGATAATTTCTATATTGGTTAGAATTAAGATTATTTTTATTTTTCCAGTTCATGAGGACTGTTTTCTTGGCTATGCATAGGGCAGTGAAAACCATATGGGCGATATTCTTTTCTGAAGTGACATTATCTAAGCTGCCCAGTAGACACACTAAGGGGGAAGTTGGAATGTTACATTTCAGACACTTTGATAAGTCTTCACATATCTCGCGCCAAAACTTTTGCACTGGTGGACAGAACCAAAGAGCGTGGATGTAATTGTCTGGTGTATTGCCTTGACAGTGTGAGCAGTTGTTGGAAGATGTAAAGCCCATCTTGAACATCCGATGACCTGTATAGTGCACTCTATGAAGTATTTTGTATTGTATTAATTGCAGACTGGGATTTTTAATTAATTTAAAAGTTTTTAAGCAAATCTGAGACCAGAAGTTTTGGTCTAGGTTGACTGATAAATCTGCTTCCCACTTTGCAGTAGGAAGGGATATTGATTCATCTAATTTAGAAAGTGTTCTGTATATTTTAGATAATAATTTGGGGGATTTAAGAGTAAGAAAATGTGCCGCACTTAGTGGTGTTTGTAATTCAACTTGACTGAGGTTAAATTTCTTTTTTACTATGGATTTAATTTGTTGATATTCTAAAAACCTTGTCTTGTTGATCCCATATTGTTCAACTAGTCTGTCAAATGGAATAAATTCTGTTCCCTCTAATATATGTTCTAAGTATTTAATTCCTTTACAACTCCATTCTGGGAAATTAATCATATTATTGTTTTGTAATATGTCAGGGTTATTCCAGATAGGTGTACGTTTGCATGGGATTAATGAAAACTCCGTTATTTTTAGAAACTCCCACCATGCTGTTAGAGAAAAGCTGATGTTGATACTTTTAAAGCATTCATGTCTTTTGATGTTTGAGCTAATAAAAGGGTAGGTCTGAAATCTCTAGATCCTTGCATAGTGCCTGTTCAACATCTAGCCAGGGCTCAACTAAGAAGGTATGTTTTAACCATTCTGAGATGAACTGAAGCCTGTTGGCTAAGAAGTATTGGTGAAAATTAGGCAGATCTAATCCTCCTCTGTCCTTGGTTCTTTGTAGCGTTTTTAAGCTAATACGCGGGGGTTTATCTTTCCAAAGGAATTTGGAAATATATGAATCCAGAGATCTGAACCAATCTTGTGATGGTTTGTTAGGGATCATCAAAAATAAGTAATTTATTTTTGGCAAGATCATCATTTTTATAGTGGCGACCCTTCCCATGAGTGATATGGGTAAAGATTTCCATCTAGTCAGATCGCCTTCTACTTTCTTTAGAAGTGGGATGTGGTTTAGTTTAGTTAAGTCTGAAAGCTTAGGAGAGACATTAATACCTAAATATTTAATATTTCCGGATTGCAGTGGGGCAGAGGAAGAATTATGGAAGGAGCAGTTAATGGGGAGAACTGTAGATTTTGGCCAGTTAATTGAATAATCTGAAACTCTTGAAAACCAGTTTATTAAAGTAATTCCCTCAGAGAGGTTGGTTTGTGTGTTTTGCAGAAAAAGCAACACATCATCCGCATAGAGACTGATTTTATGTTCTATGTTCTTACATTTTATGCCCTTAATTGTTGTAGCCTGTCTAAATGCTGCTGCTAGAGGTTCGATAAAAATTGCAAAAAGTGAGGGGGAGAGTGGGCATCCCTGTCTGGTGCCCCTCAGGAGACAGAAGCTGGAGGATGTCTGGTCATTTGTTCTGATACGAGCCGTTGGGGAATTGTATAATATTCTTATCCAGTTTATGAAAGAGTTTCCAAAACCAAATTTGTGTAAAGTTGCAAATAAAAATTTCCAATTAACTCTGTCAAATGCTTTTTCTGCATCTAGAGATAATATTATGGTTTCGATGTTTTTATCGTATGAGTAGTCTATTAAATTAAGTAATCTACGAGTGTTTGTTGAGGAGTGCCGACCTTTTATGAAACCAGTTTGGTCAGGATGAATTAAGAGGGGGGTCATTTTCTCTAATCTCTTTGAGAGAGCTTTGCAGATTATTTTAAGGTCTACATTTAAAAGAGAAATTGGACGATAGCTTGAGGGAAATAAAGGGTCTGGTTTTAGCAGGAGACTAATGTTGGCAGAATTCATATTTGGTGGTAGTCTGCCCTTTTCCTCGATTTCCTGCAACATGCTGTGGAATACTGGTGCCAAAATTGTCCAGAATTCTTTGTAGAATTCTGCAGGGAAGCCGTCTGGACCTGGAGCCTTATTATTGGGCATACTTATCAGGGCTTCCTGGAGTTCACTTGGCGTCAGTGGCGAATCCAGTTCCATTGCTTGACTGTCTAGTAATTTTGGAAGAGTTACGTTGTCAAGAAACAGATCAATTTCATTTTTAGATGGGTTTATTTGTGGTGAGTATAAAGTTTCATAGAAGTCCCTAAAAATGTTGTTTATTCTTCCAGGATCATATATTGTGTTCCCCGATAAATCTTTAGCAGCACATATAGTTATTTTTTCTTTATTTATTTTTAGCTGGTTAGCTAGAAATCGACCTGATTTGTTACTGTGTTCAAAATTCTGCAAGCGAAGTCTTTGTATAAGGAATTGTGGTTTTTTTTATTAATAGTTTCATTTAATTCTAGTTTTGTTTTGCATATTTTGTTCAATGTTTCCTGATCTTGGTGGGACGCGTAGGCTTCTTCTAGTGATTTGATGTTTTTTTCTAATTCCTGAATATTTTTGTTTTCTTCTTTCTTTTTGTGCGATGAGAAAGAAATTATTTTACCTCTCATCACAGCTTTCCCTGCTTCCCATAGAACAGAAGCAGATATTCCGGGAGTGTCATTAAAGTCTAAATATGAAGTCCATTCCTTTTTAAAGTATTTAATAAAGTCTTCATCTTTAAGTAGTGATATATTAAATCTCCAGTTTTTTCTTGGCGTAGTGTTATTCTTGTGCATTAGTGTTAAAGATACAGGAGCATGATCGCTGACAGCTATAGGATGAATCTCAGTGTCTGAAATGTCACACAGCAGTGAGCTGCTGACCAAAAAATAATCCAGACGAGAGTAAGAGTGATGAACATGCGAGAAAAAAGTATATTCCTTACTGGTGGGGTGAAGAGAGCGCCATGCATCGCAAAGACCAAAGTCGTTCATATACTGTTTGATTATATTTGTGGACTGCCAATTACGCTGAGTTCCTGTTGTGTTGAGCCTATCCATTTCTTCATTTAGTCCAAGGTTGAGGTCACCGCCAAGAATGAGTGTGCAATCAAGGTGTTCAGAGAGTGTACTAAAAAAAACCGTGGAAGAATGAGGGTTCATCAACATTTGGACCATATATACTAACAATACATAGTTTTTTGTTCAATATTGATAGTTTAATAATTAGAAATCTACCCTCTGGATCTATAACTGTATCGAGTACTGTAAAATTAACATTTTTATGTATTAAAATTGCTACTCCCCGTTGTCTAGAATTATAACCGGCTGCAAACACGTTAGGAAACTCAGGTGTTTTAAGTTCATTTAAACCTGTGACAGGTTTGTGAGTTTCTTGTAATAAAACAACATCTGCCTGTAGTTTTTTAAGCTGGTTAAATATTTTTAACCTCTTTCCTCTGGTGCCAGCTGCTTTTTTTCATACTGGCCTCTTTGAAGCCAGATGATTGAGATAAAAGAACACCTGACCCTGGTAGTCTGTTTCTTCATTTAATGCCACAATTAACGAAGATGAGCTGGAATTTATGGTTGCTGTTAATTTTCTCTGCGTGACTGAGTTGTTTTTCCTTTGTCTCTTTTTTAAACTGGTACTAAGAAAAATCATTTATCTTAGTCTGTAGGAAATTTCCAACAACCTCAGTGTTCCCACACTTTCCACCTGTTTTGTTTCACTCGAGTTATTTTAAATATTTGCTTTAGTTTAATTCCCAATGCTGGTGTGGCCACAGGCAGAAAATGGATCAAAAAATGTTTTTAAAAAAGGTGAAAGACATGTGAAGTTGATCCAATGGTGCAGTAAAGAAGAAAAAAGAAAAAAAACAGTCGGGAAGGACAGCAAATGTCAGGCAAACATCTCCTGAGTGGCTCTGCAGCAGAACTCCAGAGCAGACTCTGCATTATATGATTCCTGTGCACTCGATTGACAAATTAAAGCTATTTCCCCCCTGCCGTTTGTGGCAGGCACAGGCAACTTTTAGTTCCAATTCCACTTTGTCCATCTTGTTTTTCCTCTCATGTCTCAGAGGCTCCTCAGCCCCCATCTCACTTCATCTTCTCCCATCGTCTCATTTTCTTTCTTCCGTCCAGACACTCAGAGTAATTTCCCAAGCTTTTTGCTGTCTTGATTTTTAATTACAAAGTCTTTTGAGTGGGAGGGTTGCGGTGCGTCCGAGGTTGAGGTAATCATAATGTGGTTATTCATGTCACATCTAAAGGAAGGAAAGGGAAAGGTGGAAGTAATTGAGTCCATGGCAGACGCAAGCACCTCTGCTACTGCCAGAGAGTAATGAGCGAGAGTGTGGTGGAGGCTTTGTTTGGATGTTTATCAGTCTGTCCATCCGCTTGTTTGTTTACTTGTCTATCACGGTGATTGCAGAAGGAATTAAAGATGCAATGTGCAGTGCTTTTGAAGATACTATGTAAACTGTGAAGGCTTGGAAAATATGCTTCAACTGGACACATCAACAGGAAAAGTATATTTTTTTGTACAGTTGTTATGCTAATTATGTGCTAAAAATTGTAACAGACCAATCCTTAGTAATTAACACCAATAAAAGCTCCTCACGAGCCCCAGATAATTATTGTTTTAGAATTGATAAAATGGCATACAGCTGCTGATTATGAACAGAGGTGGCAAAAGTACAAACACTTTAGTGGAAGTACAGATACAAAAAAAGCTAACTGAACCTCAGGTCATATTAATATCATTATAAAATAATATTAATAGAAATAAGTGGAAATACAAACTTTATTTCAGCTTAGATTTAAATTCTAATGAATGTGCTCAGCTTGAACATTTTTTCTGTAGAAGACAAGCAAAGAAAAACCAAAGGGGGAAAAACAACAACAACTTTGCACCTAAATAGAAAAGTGAGTTTAGTCAGGGGTTAAATTTGAATTTAGCAGGTGGGGGAACCCTAAGAGGGGCTGTAGGTGTGGAGTGTTGGGGGAAAACCCCTTAAAAAGTCACATTCATTTTTATTTTGAGGGCAAGTACATTTTAAATATGGGCTGTATTCAGCTGACCTGTGCTGCTGCCCTTTGTGGTTTTAGTGTACTGGATTCAACAAGGGAAGCAGATGTTGCAAGAGCTATCGTGGCTGAGTTCCCACCCCAGACAGTATTAAGATGGAATCCAGTGAGTGAATCTAATCAGCATCATCAGTTTAAATTTAAACTGATGTCCGCTACCTTTGATGCAAACTCACACTGACCATGAACAGCACAGCCTGTGTTGCCTTGTGCTTTAACACCGTCTTTAAGTGGCTCCCTTTATTATGTTCGTGCCTCTTCTGAAGCACTACGGAAGAGAATGTACCACCACCACAACTTGACATCTGCAACAACGTGCCACTTTAGATTGTCACAACCTCCTTTTCTTTGCCTCTTTCATCTCCTCATGTGAAAAAAAGAACTTGCAGTGGACACACCAAAACGACTGTCTTCTCCCTGCCATCCCCCTTTTTTCTTTCTTTCTTTTCAGCTAACAGTACCGCACCCATCTATCGAGGCTTGAGACCAATTATGTGCCAAAAAGTGATATCCGATGTTTCTGTGTGTATTTTTCTAATATCTTTGCTTATATTGGTAACTAGACTACAGTCCACATGGTTTACAAAGGGGTTATATATATATAAAAAAGAACTTACCTGTTTTTCAAGGGTCTTTATGATTACATTATAATCAATCTAGTATGTTTGGCAACTTAAAATATCTTTAGAGAACGGTGGGGTTACATTTGTTGCAATTTCCGCTGCTCTCTTCAAAGAGATGTCAGTGACTTTTTTTCTGCCAGGATAAATAAAGAATATATAGAAGTGACTTTGCCACCAACTGACTGCAACTTCCACCTTGACACAGTAGTGTTCTTTCTGGGTCAAAATGCTTTAATATAATTCATGAGAGATATATTTGACAGATTATAGGCCAACAAGACATTTACAGCAGTTTATATACCATCAATCATTTTGCAGCAAATACCAGAAATCACTTTTTGGCAGACAATCACTTTTTCATGTGACACAAGCAGATTGACTGGGTGAGATATTTATATTAAAATGTGAGGAAGAAACGTAAAAAAAAATATACTCAAGTTAAGTTGATACCTCTGAGAATCAACCTGGCCATTGCTGCTAATGATAAATGGAATATGTGGATATGGAAAAGCAGTTTCTGCATGTAGCTTTAATAAGGGAAATCTGTGTTTTTCTTCATCTGCCTGCATTTCTGGGGTATTCCTGTTGCTCTCTTCTTTTTGTCACACCTTCATTCTCAGTTTCATCATCACGCTACTCTGATCCAGTGATCTTCTTACCTGCCTCCTCCGAGTCGATCGGTTTCTGATCCACACTCTTTAAGCCTTATTGCTATTCTGTCACTCTGTCTTTCAAGTCGTCATTCGTGCAACCCTCCTCCACCTCATCCTGGATGTTCCGGGATTCTACTCCACCGCCAACTAGTATTATCTACACTCCTGGGTCCTGTCCTATTTCATGCCTTTGTTTTGCTATGTTGCCAATCGCCAGAATACTTATACTAATTACCCATGTGCACCAGTAATGTTCTCTACATTCAAATGATTCTGGGATGTCTCCTTGTCAATCTAAAACTAGAGATCATACAAAACACTCCCGCTTTTACCTATAAAGCTGTAATCCAAGTGGAGGATACTGCGCATGGCAACAACTGAGTTACCTCCTTAAGGCAGTGCAGTGAACACAGAAATATTAAACCACCAAAGGGCATCCCTAAACACAAACCTTCAACTAAGTTAGAATATAAACTGCAAAAATAAAAGCCTTCCAAACTTAAGTCAATTTGAACATGCCTGCATAGTGTCCCCAGATCGTCTGTGTGCAAGCCTTTCAGCAACAAAGAAATGGGTATTGATCATTTTATAACTGTGTTCCCATTTGGAAATTACCTCTTTGTCCTGAAGTTCTTCAAGTTTGAGGAAAATAACTTTCCAGAGCTTTCAAACTGCCATTGGTTTGTCTCTAAAGTAAAAGGCGAATGGAGCGAGTGACGTGACTTCTGCAAGCTTCCACCAAACCATGCATCAAGCATTTTGATGTCTGCATGCAGTTTTGCCCCTGAACAGTCTGTTTAAACTACTCTACTTGTCAGGAATGTACATACTCACCATTTAAACCTAATGTTTGCTCAAGGTGGCTTAATACACTTGACTTTCATCTGTGACATACAAGTCAAAGACTAGCTTGTTGGACTCAGTGTTCATTAGTTTGCAGAGGTTATCTAAGTATTGAGCTTATGGTTGGGGCCGAACATGCCTGGATGTTGCCTTTTGTGCAAGACATATCATTTATTAATTAAAGTTAGCATGCATCAAGCATTGCTTTGCACAATGCTTGATGCATGCTAACTTTAGCGCAGAAGGTTCTGCACGCACTTGTTTACGTGACCACTTCATGTTCACAAAAACGGCACTGCTCTCCATTTCTCCTTTATAATGGAAGATAACAGCATGGTACCAACTGGTGATGTATGCGACTTATAACTAATAATGATACCTAGTCAGTGGGTCTGATTTGAGTGTCATATCAGGCACAAGTGCTCATTTTATTAAAAACGTTGTAGTCTTACTTCTCTGCCAAACTTTAAGTCAGATTATGACCGTCTCTACCATTGTACCATCTCTCCCCTGCGTTCTTCTCCATTATTAAAGTTTCCTTTTTTAATGTAGTGGCATGGCCCTGAACTCTTCAGATTCACAAGTGTGATCATCTTCATTATTCCTGTTTTCAGGCTCTAGCCCAAAAGGTCTTTTGAGCTCCGCTACGTGCAGCCTTGAAACAACTTTATTGAGCAACTCAGGTGTTCAAGTTAAACTTTAAAACCACCTCGTTTGTCATTGCAGAACCTTTTCATCATCTTTGGTTTTTATTTATTTTGATTCCACTTCCTCCTGTGAACTTTTTGCCATCCCTACCACAGTGTTTGTTACGATCAATGATCCCTTATTGCTCATTCTCTTTCATTGCTGCAATCTCACCTTTTGTCAGTCTTTCATTGCTTTGGTTAGGAAGTAACTTTCCTTTTAAAAAGTTCCTGCAACGTCTCAAATTATTGGGATAATGATTTATTGATGTTAAAACTGCTACTCTCTGCACCTTTTGAGCAGATTTTTTGTTCCTTTGTGTCACAAATAAAACCTTAGTCAGGGCTAAACTGCACAAAATGGTCAGCTAATTTCACCCGTCTCAGCAGCACTTTAATACACACTGTACTCGTGATAGTGATAAATGATCTAATCCTGAGAAGACCAACATTTGTCTTGTCCCTGTGGGTGCCAGATGAGACAATCAACCCGTCATATTTACGTCTGTACTGTGATTTAGTGAAGAGCATGCTGCTCACTTGGAACTGCTTACCTTCATCATTATGTCTCTATTGGATAGTAAGCATTTGTCTGTGCCAGTGTAAATATGTATAATAGGGAGCCACTGCTATTTTGAAATAGTTATTTATCTTCTTTTTATGCAGCAAAATCCATCTTCCTCACCTACACACCTCATCCTCAGCAGCTCTAAAACAGGATTAACTACTTCAACATAAGTATAATGTTTAAGTTATATATTCCTTTAAGCTAGTATCATTTGTCCAGTGGATTTGAATTACAATCACTACCTCTTATTGCCACTTGATGGCAGTCTCAGAACACAGCAGGACTTGGTTAGCCTTGCGCATGCCAGAATACTGTATATGCACTGCATATCTGTATTTGCACTTCTTCCAAGTGCCTGTAGTATCAGTCATGCAGGCGATCTGTCCACTGGCTCATTAATATATGAACAATTCTGGATAAAAGTGGAAATAATGAACTCTTTAATACCCCCTTCTTTTAAACATCTACTACATATTCTGAAACACATTTGCTCTCACAGTGCATGCATAATGCAGCATCAAGTGGGTGTCACATTCATGAATCGAATCCAGAAAGATTCACCTTGACCCGACTATGATCTGAAAACTACATTTTGTTTTCAAAGAACATATTTCGGCTCTGGCTGCTAACTTGTCATTGTGCAGCCGAACACTTTGAAACACTGCACTGCTGAAAAAGGCGCTCAGTGAAGTTGAAGTTCAAGCACTGAAAGAATATGAAACGCTGAAGTGCAAGCGATGAATAGCTCAGAGAAGGTCGGGTAATAATGGAAGCGCTGAGCGAAATTAACATCATTGAAGGGTT